TCTAACCGACAGGTGACCGGGTTGAATGTGAGTTTCATCGTCTCCAGAGACCCTTGTTTTCTGGTTTGAAGGTTGAAATGGTGCTTGCTCTTCGCTTAAAAGTCGACAAAACGGGTTGCTAATTTTCATTTGTGTCCCATTTGGTAGCAGTCTTGAGACTCTGGAAGTACAGTAAAAATAACAATCCTTATGTATTCTCTAATATCACATTTAATAAATGTTATCTTAATGAAACTGCCTGCTGTAGTCTTCTTTCACTGTAGGCCCCATTCCCCCAATTTGGTAAACACTGTCCTTAAGAGCTTAATAGTGCTCCAAGTTACTGTCATTTATAGATAATAACCTGATGGAGACCAATTGGGGTTATGTAGCCTACAAGTTATGTGAGACATAAATGATTGCTGTTACTCTGCTAGAAATATTTACTACTGCTATTAGCTGTGTTGTTTTTTCAGTAGTCAGCTAATATCCTCTGATATTTAGGGTGTTGAGAGCTGAGATTATAGTGTCTTTACTGTGCCAGCAGCTGATTCTGTTCCCCTGTGTTTGTAGATGCTGACCATCACTCTGAAGGTGCTGACTCTCCTCTGTGGATCCCCTCAGCCTTTATCCCTGAACTTCCTCAAACACTACAAAGGCAGAGGTCAGTAAAAGGCACTCTTTTGCTGCGTTCAAAATCTATAGAGAAATGTGTTTGCCAATTTTTTGCCTCTCTGGGGAAAATTAGGTTTATACTGGAAACTAGTATTTTTCTTTTGATTGTTTAGAAAACATTTGCAATAATAAACCTTTCTTTGCATTACTGTTGTGTTGTTGGAAACACATGTAACAAGTCTTAGCTATACTAAATAAATCTGGCAACTCTACATACTTTAAGTCCTTGTGTTAATTAATGTGCATTGTCCCCTTTTTTAATATATAAACTTCAAACCCAAAATCCAGATGTACAGCTGAAATTGTTCTAAATCATAAATAAACATAAACATAAATAAAAACGTAATTAATGAACCTGGCAGTGTTGACTGTGAACTCATTATCTCCTGAAGTGATGGAGTTAGTTGGCATTCACATTGTCACCTTGGGCAGGTGCAACCCACCTGACAAACACATACTGTGTTGCTGTGGAAACATGCTACAGATCAACATATTATGAAGTGCTAGTGTTAAATAAAACTGCGAGATTTGAACTTATGTTACTTCTGGACTGTGCTGATGTCTGTGTCTGTCTGTGCGTTTGTATGCCTGCCCATCTGTCTCTCTGAAACTCAGTGTGAGGAGTCAAGGGAATAATTACCTGCATAATCCATTCTAGACAATTAGATAATGCTGATTAGTACACAATGGGCTACATGGTGTTGGTGGTGGGGGCACCATTAAATAACGGTGGACTGTACAGTATGCCTGTCTTTGTGTGAGGGACAAAGTTTTTTAAATGAAAACAGAAGAAGAGCTGGAGAGAAACAATGTGAAAAGTATGTACAGAAAGCTTTCAGAGTGTTCAAAATTGAAACAAATCATCATGTGGGAAGCACAAATTTCCTCACTAAATTTCCTGGCAATCTACCTATTGGAATGTAATGGTTCTTTTGAGCGAGTGATTGTTAGCACTGTTGCCTCAAATTTTAGACATCTTGTGGCTTTCTTTGTGAAGTTAACACGTCCACTTCTGGTCTGTAAGGATTTCCTGAAGACGTGCAGGTCAGGAAACTTTGCAAAAGTTGCTTCTACTGTAGATGTGAAGATGCTTTGGTGACCTGTTTTACCTCTCGACGAGTGTTTGTGGGGAAGGCTCCAGCCCTGTGCGCGCCTTAATGGTTTTGGATGTGATGGATGGATCAGTGTTTACAAATGGAAATTTTATCTACATGGTGGTAGTGTTTTTGCACAGTTTTTTGTCAGCTGTTGACTTCTGACTCCACGCATGAGTCTGACGCAACCCTGTTGATGCTGCAAGTTGTGTAGGATTCATAGAGAGAGACATCAGAGTGAGCCAGAGCCAGTGTTTGTCCGTTCTGGGCTACTATAGAAACATGGCGGTTCAACGTGGCGGCCTCCATGGAAGGCGACGCGAGGCGTCTGTAGATATAAAACAATTTTTTGAAAGTAATAAAAACACAATTATTCTCATTTTCAGGTGATTAAATGCTAATGAAAACGAGGTTATGCATATTATATCCCATTACACACTGGACCTTTCAAAGCTGTCTTTAAAGGGACACTAAGGACATTTTGCTAAACAGAGACTGCTGTGGCCCCCGGGGGAGCTTATTATAGGATAATAGTACACTGAATTTTTCGTACTTTGCTGCTTTTCTTGCTTTATAGAAATCGTCAACAGGTGACATGAATAATAGTGAGTGGAACAGAAAAGCAGGGACATGTCTCCTGATAACGCACATTGTATTTGTTTTATTTTGGTGATGAAATCTGTGACAGTAGCACAAGTAGAGAAAACTAATGTCTAATGTAATTTTTTAAATTATTTTTAAAAAATATATTAATTAATAGATGAGAATAAACCACTGAAATCACACTAACTCAACATGTGCCTCCACCCCCCCTAACAAATGTCTAGTTTTATGGAAATGGTTTCTTAAATCCTGCTTGCTTCATAATAGTTTCAACCTGCTCCCTATCAGTGATCTCATGCTGTCATCACAACCTGAGGTTAATATAGTACTGTATATGTTGTCCAAGACCTGCCCCTATCATGTACGGACCACATAAAAGAGGGTACCGAAATTGCTCATCCTCACTCTTCTCCTCTAATATCCAGACACATTTTTACATACATACATTTTACATACAGCGGTTTCTTACCATCAGATCAGATATTGGGGGGGAAAAATGCTAAAATTAGTCACAGTGCAAATTCCAACTTAGTTAGGTTAACGTAAGGTTTCCCTAAAATGATCTATAGTGTTTAGTAATAGACGACATTGGATAATAGGATGTCTGTATGTGACCTTAATTGAGGCTTTGGGGCTGCCCTCTGGCTAACCCGCTTGTTATCAAATGCAGTTTCTGTCTTACTGGAAACCCTCTACGGATGCCAAGACCGACTGTGTCCGATTTTACAGTGTCGGATTAATGGCTGTTTGATCAAGTTCAAAGGCAGAGCTGCCCTGGATAAACTCATTTAAACAGAGCCAAAAGACAACTGGGCCAGACTGGTGTACTGTACGTGGAAAGGCTTTAAATACCAGGTCTTAGTTGGTCCAGGTCCATTCTGGGCAGTCCTGTAAATAATGTGCACTGGAGCCAGCAGTCAAAAGTAGGCAGGCAGACATTTTTATCCCGCTGTAGTGGGGATATTTGTGGGGTGTTAAAGTAGTAATCCTCAAGATACTTGACTTATTGATTTTGATGGCATCTTTTGTGGTAAGTGGTGTGTCTGCACTACCGTTGTGCCAGATTATCAGTACACAATGTGTGGCCCCCTACCTCAATGTCCATTTCCTTAGAATTTCTGTTGTAGCTAGCCCACTTCCTTTTTGTGAGAACTGCCCAGTCTTTCTGTTTATTCTATACAAGCCAACGTTGCTGCGACGGGAAAAGTAAAAGGAATCACTTCCTGTGTGTCAAGTGTTTTTTTCCCCCCATCTACCAACGGATGGTTGGAATAGCAAATGTAAAATCTGATATGAGTTAAGTCAATATAGAATCACATCACCTGGCAATAGAGTGCAGAAAGAAAAGCATTTTAATTTATGAATATGTAATATAATATATAAACGAATAATTTAACTGTGTATTGTTATTGTTTTCTTTATTATATAGGGAAGTATCTATATACATATGATGGTCATTGTAGATCTACATAAAAGTGTCAGATAAAACACCTTTTAAATATATTTAAATATATATACTTTTGTGTGTGTGCAGGTTTATTCTTATGGCACATCCAGATATATGTACAGTACTCCATGTATATGTTTGCATATTGTATCTTGTCTTGACGCCTCTGTATATGCATGGAAAATCAAGCAGTATTAATACTAACTACTTGATTTTAACCAGATTAAGGCAATAGTCTGCTTATTGCAACTGACATTTCATTAAGTTTATATGAGTCTTACCCGGTTAACAGACCATGGTCCCTTTTAATGTTTCTAATACCTCTGCTATGTGTATCTTGTTTGTTTCAGAGTTTTCAGAGTGTGCATACGCCAGATAGGTCACACAATGAACAGGATGCATTGTGGTGTTTTTATACACAAACAGCTGCATACTGTGGTTTAGATGTAAAATAATCTTTGGAGAAACCCATGCAAACAAACTCAAAAAACAAATTAAGTGTCTCCATTTTCTTTTTCCTAGTTTGTGGTGATTTGTGTCTTAAACTGTAGACAGTGGATATCAACTGGATTAAGTGGGAGGGATGTTACTTTTCTGTTTCTCTAATTTCTCTCTCTCCTCTGTCATCTGAATGAGTTGCCTGTCCGACCACTACCTGAGGAGGTCTGAGCAATCGGATCAGTGGCATTCGCCAGTGACTGTTTACACCTGGATTTATATGTGATTAAGCATGACTGGCTACATATCCAATCATCCAAGACGCATTTTAGTGCAACGTGTAAAGTGAGTAATAAACGTATCAGTCCGAGTAACTGTTATGTGTATGTGTGCAATTGTGTATGTGTGCAATTCTGTGTGTGTGTGTGTGTGTGTGTGTGTGTGTGTGTGTGTGTGTGTATATGTGTTTGTGCTGCATAACAAGTGTGTCTGTCCACATAGCTGTCATGAATTTGTGTATCGGAGTGGTTGTGTGTTTGAATCTCGATTCATATCAGTTTGAGCCTAAGTCTTTGTGCATGACTGATTGCTTTGTCTGTCTGACCACAACTGAAAAGGGATCCATCTCTCTCTTTGCCTCTCTCTCTCTCCTCCCTCTGCCTCTCTCTCTCCCTCTATCTGTTTGACTGGGTGTCTCTATCTACTCAGTTCCACCTTAAGAGAAGCTTTAGCAGCCTGTCGTGTTTGTGTTGAAGCCAACAGGCACAATATATTACAGTCTAGGGCTTGCTGCTGAAAAGCCCGCTGGATCCTCCACTGACCTGCTGTTCTTTCCTGCTTTCCTCTCGCGTTTTTTCCACATTTAGATTAAAAACAAAGCTCTCTCTCTCTCTCTCTCTCTCTCTCTCTCTCTCTCTCTCTCTCTCTCTCTCTCTCTCTCCCTTCTCCCCTCCCTTCTTCTTCTTCTCCTCCTTCTTCTCCTTCTTTTCTGCGGCAGCAGTCAAGGCAGAGGCTTCAGTGTGTCAGAGAGAGGGTAAAGAGAGAGGAAAAAGCTGAGAAGAAGACTATTTGGACGGAGCTGAGTGTGTGTGTTTATGTTTGTATGTTTCGCCATTGGACGGCCGGGTGAAGGGGCATGAGGAGAAGAGTAGGAGGGGGAGAAGAGGGGAGCCTGCCTGGATGAAGTGCTCTGTGTCATGTCACTATGTGTGGACCTTGACTGATCACAGGTTGAGGAAAAGGGAGAGACACTGAGAGGAAGACAAGGAGGTGGAGAGAGAGAGGAGGACTTGAACTGAGAACTGAGACTTTTCACTGGGAAAAGAAGACGAAGAAGGAGAAGGAGGTAAAGTCTGGAGCTCCGTGTTTATCATGACATTGTTGGATAAAGCAACCGACGGATTGAGCGCTCCTCAGTTGTGTGTCAACAGGAATTCGCCTTAGAAGACAGAGAGAGGGAGAGCTAGGGAGAAAAGAAGGAGAGAGACTCTGGAAGAGTAAAGACTGCTGTGTTCAACCCAGCTAAGGAGTGTGTGTGTGTGTGTGTTTGTGTGTGTGGCTGTGTAACCGGTGGAGGGCAAAGGAGTGGAGGGCCAGGGGACTAACCTGGCCATCAAACGGACTGGCAGCCTCTCCTCTCCTGGGATCATGTACCCTCAGGGCAGGCATCCGGTAAGTACCTCCTTATGTCTCTTTCTCCTGTCTATCTGACTCTGTTTCTGTCTGTCTCTCCATCTCCTTCCATGTCTGTCTCTCAACTCCAATCTCTCCCTCCTTTTCTTATGCCTCAGATTCACCATGTCACTTCTAGCTCCCTCTGTCCTCTTTTTGCTGTCTGTCTCCTCAAGCCTCTTTCTGCTTCGCTTATCTTGTGTCTTTCCTCCTTTTACTGCCTCTTGTCCTCTCCTTCTGTCTCCCTGCTTCTTGGTCTGTGCTAAAGTATTTTCTTGTCTTTGTCTTCCTGTCCTTCCTTCTGTCTTTTTCAGCCTGTCTGTGTTGTCCCCCTCTCTTGTTTAGTTATGGGGACTGTACTGTAACATGAGGAGCGAGACGTGAGGGGAGGAGGGTGTCTGGGCTAAGAGATTCCCTGTTATGTACACACACACACACACACACACACACACACACACACACACACACCCCTCCTGCTCTGTCAGCTGCAACCAGGTGCCTTTGAGATCTTGTTGATGGTTAGCTGTGTAGGTGGCATATAACTGAACCTGCACTCTCAGCTTGTGTGTGTGTACATTTGTGTGTGTGTACTGTATATGTAGGTGTTCATTAGTGTTTCTATGTGTGCTTATGTGTGACACTGTTTATGTGGACGACCGCGTGTGTGTGTGTGTGTTAGAATAGATCTGTCTATATTAATGTCTGTGTCTGTGTGTGAGGATGTGTGTGCTTGTGTGTAAATGGTCAGTACAACTGTCCATTTGCTCATTTCTGTTGCTAAGCAAACACTTGCGCACACACACAGACCAGTTAATTGATAGTTAAATTCCACTTAATTCATTTCCATTACTACTAAGAAAGGTCGTGAGTGCACAAGTACTTCCCTTTTAATACCTCCTTAAAGTCCCTTCCCTCCTTCAGTTTCACCCTTCATCAGCAGTGAGAATTTGCTGTTAATTTACCTGCCAGGGTAGAATAAAGGTTAAATACATAGAGTGAAAAGCACAGAAGGATGAATGACAGCTTAGGCTCAGTCTGGCTTAGGCCATTCGTTTCACAGGGGCCCCGGTCCGGTTGCTATAATCAGATTTGGTTGTCAGTCTCTTTGTATCTGGTACAAATGGGTCAGTGGCCACTTTGCCTCGCAGCCAGCCAGCCAACCACTCAGTCAGCCAGCAAGCCAGCTAGCTATCACACAGAATTATGAATGACATTTTCACAAGAGGAAGGCATGAGGAATCAATTATATGTACAGAGAGAATGCTAATAAGCCAGCCGCTGGAATAGAAAGGAGAGAGAGAGACCCTGAGAGAAACAAGAGAGAAGTGAAAAACAAAGGGAGAAAGTGAAAGATGTAAGAGCCAAGAAAGGGAAAATAAGAGTGAGAAAGGATTCTTTAAAAAGGCACGGCCGGGGGTAGAAAGAGAAATGAAAATGAATGAGAGATGCAAAGGAAGAATAGAGTGTGAACATTCCTCTGTTCTCTCCTTTAGAGGCGTATCAGAGAGCTTCCTGCTGCGATGTTCTGCGTTTGTGATAAAGTTCAATCCCAGATTGAGCCAACTCCAACCGATCGATAGCTTCTATCTCTCTCCCTCTGTCTTTCTTCTGTTTTTCTCCCTCTCTGCCTTTTTTCTCTCTTCTACTTCCTCTGCAGGCCTCCTTTGCCAGCGGAACTTTATTTCTGGTGTTGCTATGAAATGTGATCTGTGGAGAGGTGTGAGGGTGCAAAGAACAGTTGCATGTACATTTACATAAACGTGTGTTTATGTGTTTTTGTCCCAACACAGTTGCATCTAAAATATGTAGTTCACCCTGTTTTTTTTCACAAACACAGCTGGAATATGACCTTTATCAAAGAAATTCCAATTTTTCTGCAAGTTGGCTGCAAGAAAGCATGACATTAGAGAGGCTGATTTATGTTGCCAGAAAACAAAATCAGAAGCCAAACCGTAAGCACACAGTATGAGCTTTGGTGCATCTTGCTTTTCACTAGTTGACTCTTAAGCCTGAGATGTCCGTTCGTTCTTGATTGCACCAACAGTGACAGTTTTCAAAATAGTCTCCACTAGCAACTTCATTACCAAAAGGGTTGACTGGCTACTTTGAAATGAAGAGAATCAGCTTAAAAATGACAATAATTTATATGAAAAAAGTCAGAAGTAATGTAACTTATATGTGATTTGTAGTTAATCTCTTTCTTCTTTTGTGGTACTGTGTAAATACACACACAACTGTTCATTCAGCAACCTTGATGTAGCCTTGCTGGTGTCACTCAAACATCATGTTCTACTTCCTGTCTGTGAGGACAGAGAGGCCTTGAATGCAGCTCCTCTCAACCCCTCTGTGTGTCCCTTCAGAAATGATAAGGAAGGTGTCTTCAGTATAAATAGATAATATGTACATCCAGAGCCTCAGCAGTGCTATTTTTTTTTATCAGAGAAGAAGTCCGTCTTTGTTCTCCTTGCTCTCTGGCAGGAAAAGGTTAAAACTGAGGGCTGATTTGCCAGTCCAGCGGAACTGTAATTGGTTCCACTGGATTTTTGTTGCAAGCGTTATCAGAACTGTGTGAATGTGTTTGTGTGGATATGTGTGAGGTGTGTTAATGTGTGTTTTTTGTTTAATGTGTGTATTTGCCGTGTGTGGAATCCCTTTTTATGTGTCCGTGTCTCTTTAGTGCTTTTTGAGTCTCAGTGTGTTGCCTTGTTTGTTGACTTGGATGCGTGTAAATGTGTGTGTGCATCATCGGTGTGAGGTTCACTTTTTGTTTTATGTGTGCATTTGCTCTTAAATGTTAAGTGTCTTTGCGTGCAAGTGTATGTATTTGTTGGTGTGTGTGTGTGTGTGTACCATCTATGTGTTTGTATTTGTCCTTGTGTTCCTGTAAAAGTGCTTGTGTGTGTGTTCGGCTGTCAAAGTGTGTCTGTTTGGATCTGGGAGAGGAAGGGGAAAAGGAGAGCGGTGGTGGTTTTTGTGTGTGTGTGTGTGTGTGTGTGTGTGTGTGTGTGTGTGTGCGTGTGCGTGTGCGTGTGCGTGTGCGTGTGCATGTGCGTGCATACACTGTGTGCCAACAACAATAACAATAAATAATGTTCCAGTCCGACCTCGACTGTTGCTGTGAATGTACAAGCCCTTGATTGGCTGCCACACCCCAGAGAGAGAGAGACACAGGATTTACTGTGTGTTTTCATGGTTAAGAAAGACATGTCTGACTGCTATCCAGCAAACAGGACTGATCAGAGCTAAGACTCACACTCACATGCATGTACGCTTGTATTTCACATAATTTTACACATATATTCATGTACAAGTACAAACAAACATCCAGAGTTTAGAAAAGTATTGCGGTTGTATGAGTTTACACTAAAAGCTGTTGGTCTGTGTGTGTTTGTGTGCATGTGCCTGTACTGCAATATGTTCCCCAGACCTGGGAGTTGTGGTGGCTGTAGTCTAGAGGATGTAGATCAGACAGAGTTTATTCAGTAAGCGTACGATAAAGAGAGGAGAGAGTGAGCATGGAAGAGAAAGAGGGAAAGTTGGTCTTGGCTCCAGTTTAGTTGATGATGGTGTTGATTGTTGTCGGTTGTAACAGTACTATATCAAATCAAATATGCTCTCATAATCATTATTACATCATGCATGAACATCATTCAGTCACTTTCTACTTTGGAAATTTATGTCATGACAATATAGCAGCTGTTGAATTATTATTGTTATTGTGTGTATAGTGTGTGTGTATAGTGTGTATTGTGTGTGTGTGTGTGTGTGTGTGTGTGTGTGTGTGTGTGTGTGTGTGTGTGTGTGTGTCTTGGGAGACAAAGAGGAAAAAGGAGAAATGAGAACACAAGTGTACCAGTATGTGTGGTACAATCTAAGCAACTGTTGGAGAATGTATAATTGTCTTCTGTGTGTGTGTGTGCGTGTGTGTATGTCTCCTTCTTTGGCCATGAGTAGGGCAACACTTTATTTTTACGGCCAAGTAAACAAACTCATGCCAAGTATGTGGCCACAGAAATCACATATGCTCCATTAATGAGGGTAGGCCGACTATAAGAGTGTTTGTGTGTGTCTTAAAGTTGGATTTTGATGTGCATGAAATGAGAAATTTGTGAGTTAATTTTGTAGTTGCAGTGGCAGGACATGCTTAACCACTTATTATTGTGTAAGTGCTTACTAATGTGTATATAGCAATTTTTGGATATGCAACAGTGCGCTGTTTCGCGCACACTGGCCCTTTTTTTTTTTTGGCATCTAGCCGTGTCAGGCAGTTTGTTTTTCCCCAACATTTGTGGCTGTAATGAAAGCCATGTACGGTAAACAGCACAGCACTGCTGTCACCTCCCACAGATGACATTCTTCCCTCCTTTGCTTTGTCCTCATCTTGTTTACATTTAATTTTATTCAGCATTTCAAAGGCAACCCGTAAAATGGCAAAAAGTCAAGTAACAACAATACAGCTGCAGTGAGACGACCCACAGAACAAGCAGAAAGTCAAGCCACCAACTACTTCATCATCAGCCACCCAGATTAAGTCTGCTCTCTGATAAAAAAAAAAAAGAAGGAGAAAAAACAGGCCATTTTCTATCCTCAAATCCTGTATTCTGTGTTCTTTTCTTTGTCATTAAAAGAAATGATCAGAGCGATGGTTGGATGGAGTCCAGAGACTCTTTTGGCTGCCAATCTTTCCCTGATTAGTAATCCACTGATGGCTTAGTGGCTGACTGGTGAGCTGCAGCATTAACTGACTAGATCTCTGAATGTATGACTTGCTGACTGCTTAAACTAGTGGACTGACTGTCTGACTTTTGGTTTGCTGACTGCTTGGCTAGCTGGATGACTGACTGACTTAGTGTTGCCATGTTAATTGACTGTCAAACTGAATGACTGACTGGTTAGCTGGCAGAATGAGTAAGTGGTAAACATTCAACAACATTGTCAGAAAGAAAGAGGCAAATCTGAGGGCGTCATAAAAAGACGGCTGAAGTTACATTTCCATTCTT